GGCCTCGTCACGCGCGGCTCGAGGAGGGGGCCTCGCCGCTGATGGCTAAGGTGCGCCTCTTCTTCTCGCCCCCTATGCCTCCCCACGATGCCTCCCCATGCCTCCCCACGCCTCCCGCGCCGCTAGTGGCAAAGGCGCGCGCGGCGTCTCCCCCCCTCCCTCGCCTTCCCTCCCCACGGCCACTACAGGGCTTTACAGGGCTTTGTTCATGACCACAACCGCGCGTACTCTTCTCATGCTCATTCTCCCCCCGCGTTGTTGACTTCTTTTTCTCGGCGACGGCGCAGGCGCGCGCCACCACCGCCGACGAAACCAAGCGGATGATGCGCCGCCTCTCTTAAGGAGAACCGCCAAGCAGCTGTGAGCAGCGTCTCTTCACACCTGCAGCTGTGAGCAGGCGCCGCCTCTCTTAGGAGAACCACCAAGCAGCTGTGAGCAGCGTCTCTTCACACCTGCAGCTGTGAGCAGGCGCCGCCTCTCCAAGGAGAACACGAAGCAGTACGGCCGCTACTTGGGCAAGATCACGCACTGCCACCCGTCGGTCGTCTTCAGCAGCTGTGAACAGCGTCTCTTCACACCTGCAGCTGTGAACAGGCACTGCAACCCGTCGGTTGTCTTCGACACCATCCTCGGCCAGATCCAGGCGCACCACTTCCGCCGCACCTCCCCACACCTCCCCGCATCTCCCTACACCTCCCCACACCTCCCCACACCTCCCCACACCTCCCCACACCTCCCCATCTCTCCCCACACCTCCCCGCATCCCCCCGCAGGCTGCTCGAGCAGCTGCCCTACACGGCGCGCTACCGGCTCTACGGCCTCGTCCACGCGCGGCTCGAGGAGGGGGCCTCGCCGCTGATGGCTAAGGCGCGCGCTTCTTCTCGCCCCCTATGCCTCCCCACGATGCCTCCCCATGCCTCCCTACGCCTCCCGCGCCGCTAGTGGCAAAGGCGCGCGCGGCGTCTCCCCCCCTTCCTCGCCTTCCCTCCCCACGGCCACTACAGGGCTTTGATCATGATCATGACCACAACCGCGCGTACTCTTCTCATGCTCATTCTCCCCCCGCGTTGTTGACTTCTTTTTCTCGGCGACGGCGCAGGCGCGCGCCACCACCGCCGACGAAACCAAGCGGATGATGCGCGGCCTCTCCAAGGAGAACACCAAGCAGCTGTGAGCAGCGTCTCTTCACACCTGCAGCTGTGAGCAGGCGCCGCCTCTCCAAGGAGAACACCAAGCAGTACGGCCGCTACTTGGGCAAGATCACGCACTGCCACCCGTCGGTCGTCTTCAGCAGCTGTGAACAGCGTCTCTTCACACCTGCAGCTGTGAACAGGCACTGCAACCCGTCGGTTGTCTTCGACACCATCCTCGGCCAGATCCAGGCGCACCACTTCCGCCGCACCTCCCCACACCTCCCCACACCTCCCTACACCTCCCCACATCTCCACGCATCTCCCTACACCTCCCCACACCTCCCCACACCTCCCCACACCTCCCCGCACCTCCCTACACCTCCCCACACCTCCCCACACCTCCCCACACCTCCCTACACCTCCCCACACCTCCCCACACCTCCCCGCACCTCCCCACACCTCCCCGCACCTCCCTACACCTCCCCACACCTCCCCACACCTCCCAACATCTCCCCACACCTCGCACCTCCCCACACCTCCCCACACCTCCCCGCACCTCCCTACACCTCCCCACACTTCCCCACACCTCCCCACATCTCCCCACACCTCGACCCTTCTCGCAACATCGAAAATCGCGCCGCAACTCCCGGACAGTGTCAGGAAATAGGGGTAACTAAAACCTAATGGCGGCGGGTGTTGGAGAAGATTAGGCACCTCTGAGAGGGGTGTGAATAGAGGGGCTGTGAATAGAGGAGCTGTGAATAGGTCGAGATGATGAAGTACCTGACGCCGCTCTCCTTCGACTGCCTCACCTACTCCCTCCTCTCGCACCTCGCCTCGCCCGCAAAGACGCGCCTCAAGGAGGACGGGCTCAACGTATCGCTCTGGATGCAGGCGACCTCGGGCAATCTCGGCCGATCTCGGGCAATCTCGAGCAACCTCGGGCGACCTCGGGCAATCTCGGGCAACCTCGGGCAATCTCGGGCAATCTCGAGCAACCTCGGGCGACCTCGGGCAATCTCGGCCAACCTCGGGCGATCTCGGGCAATCTCGGGCAACCTCGGCCAATCTCGGCCAATCTCGCAATCTCGCGGGCTCACCTCCTCGCTGCTCTTGCCGCAGTCCCTCTCCTCCTTCTGCGGCAACCTGTACAAGAAGCACCCGACGATCGAGCTGGCCGGGCCGCTGCCGCGCGTCGCATGCGTGCCTCGGACGTGTCGCGGACGTGTCGGGGACGCGCCTAGGTCGGGCTGCTGCAGTACATCACAAACACGCTCAAGTCGGGGCAGTCGTTGCAGCTGCTCGTGCTGCGCGACCTCGTCACCAAGATGGCGGGAGATTACCCGAGATTACCCGAGATTACCCGAGACTACCCGTGATTACCCGAGACTACCCGTCACCAAGATGGCGACACATCGACATGCTCGACGACCTGTCCGAGACCGTTCCTCGACCTTTCCTGGACCTCTCCTAGGCGGGCATCGACATGCTCGACGACCTGTCCGAGACCGTTCCTCGACCTTTCCTGGACCTCTCCTAGGCGGGCATCGACACGCTCGACGACCTGTCCGAGACCGTTCCTCGACCTTTCCTGGACCTCTCCTAGGCGACACATCGACATGCTCGACGACCTGTCCGAGACCGTTCCTCGACCTTTCCTGGACCTCTCCTAGGCGGGCATCGACATGCTCGACGACCTGTCCGAGACCGTTCCTCGACCTTTCCTGGACCTCTCCTAGGCGGGCATCGACATGCTCGACGACCTGTCCGAGACCGTTCCTCGACCTTTCCTGGACCTCTCCTAGGCGGGCATCGACATGCTCGACGACCTGTCCGCCGAGCAGCTGCAGGCGATCTCGCGCAATCTCGGGTCCATCTCGCGCAATCTCGAATCCATCTCGGACAGTGCCGGTCCTTCTCTCGGGCAACAACCTCCCCCCCCCCTCTCCCCCCTCTCTCCCCCCTCGCTCGTCGCAGGCGCAGGCGGGCGGCGAGACGCTGCGCGCGTGCGTCACGGACTTGCTCGGCATCGCAAAGAACACGAAGCGCTCGTCGACGCGGCTCAAGGAGACGCTGCAGCGGCACGGCCTGTCCCTCCTTCTCGGACCTTTCCTGGACCTTTCCTGGAACCTTCCCTGTAGGAGACGCTGCAGCGGCACGGCCTCTCCCTCCTTCTCGGACCTTTCCTGGACCTTTCCTGGAGCCTTCCTGTAGGAGACGCTGCAGCGGCACGGCCTCGTCGCGCCCCTCTTCCTCCTCATCGCGCAGCAGCGCTCCGCCACGGCCCTCTTCCCTCCCGCCCTCGCCACTCCAATCAGCCTGACGCTAGCCCTAGTGAGACCATCTCCCGCCCGCCAGGGCTTCCTCACCGATGCGCCACATCTCCCCACATCTCCCCATATCTCCCGCCCGCCAGGTCTTCCTCACAGACTCGCCGCAGCTCAAGCTGGTCGGCGAGCTGTACGACCGCTGCCAGGAGACGCTTCCTAGACGCTTCCTAGACACTTTCTAGACACTTCCTAGACACTCCCTTGACAATTGCTTGACAAAGCTGGTCGGCGAGCTCTACGACCGCTGCCGGGAGATTACCCGAGATTACCCGAGAGCTGTACGACCGCTGCCAGGAGACGCTTCGAGCAGCTCCAGTCCTTCTGACTCGGAAGTCTCCCTCACTTAACGCGAATGGACGACCGCTGCCAGGAGACGCTCGAGCAGTTCCAGTCCTTCTGCGGCGCCAACTTCTCCGCCGACGAGTACGCAAAGGCGCTGTGAACAGCGTCTCTTCACACCTCTAGCTGTGAACAGGCGCCAACTTCTCCGCCGACGAGTACGCAAAGGCGCTGTGAACAGCGTCTCTTCACACCTCTAGCTGTGAACAGGCGCCAACTTCTCCGCCGACGAGTACGCAAAGGCGCTGTGAACAGCGTCTCTTCACACCTCTAGCTGTGAACAGGCGCGAACTTCTCCGCCGACGAGTACGCAAAGGCGCTGTGAACAGCGTCTCTTCACACCTCTAGCTGTGAACAGGCGCGAACTTCTCCGCCGACGAGTACGCAAAGGCGCTGCCCACTGTCGGCGAGCTCTTAATTAATTATTAAGTAATTAATTGTTAATTGTTTACTTAGTAATAGGCGCTGCCCACTGTCGGCGAGCTCTGCGCCGCGTACAATGTCGAGCCGGAGGTGGCCTTCTTCATTTGCCGCTAGTCATTCACAGCTAGTCATTCACAGCTAGTCATTCACAGCTAGTCATTCACAGGTGGCCTTCTTCATCTGCCGCCCGGTCCTCCGACACCTCGAGGGCCAGGCGAGGCCTCGGCCTCATCTCGGACACATCTCGGCCACATCTCGGACACATCTCGGCCACACCTCGGCCACATCTCGGACACATCTCGGCCATATCTCGGCCAGATCTCCGGCGAAGCTCGGCTCATCTAAGCTCCTCTCGGCTCCTCTCGGCTCCTCTCGGCGAATCTCCCGAGTCTCTCGGCTCATCTCCGCCTCCCGATATCGAGGCCCAGGCCGCCGGCGCGCCGCCCTCCAAGCCCGCCGCCGCCAAGGGCAAGGAGGCGCCGGCAGAGAAGGCGGCCGCGGACAAGGCGAGGGCGGCGGAGACGCTGGCGGCGCTCGAGGCGAGCCAGGGCTTGCGGACCGTCCTTCCCGAGGGCTGCTGGGACCTGCTCTCGCCGCAGCTGTACGGCACTTTCTGGCGGCTGTCGCTCTACGACATCCTCGTGCCGCGCGAGAGGTGACAGCGAGATATGGGGAGATGTGGGGAGATGTGGGGAGATATGGGGAGATACATCCTCGTGCCGCGCGAGAGGTGACAGCGAGATGTGGCGTGGCGAGATATGGGGAGATTGTGCCTTTCCCCCCCCCCCCCCCCGTCCCCTCCCCTTTCTCCTCTCCACACCACCTCTGCAAGTGCCCTCACCTGCCCGCCGGCATGCCACCCACCCCCGCCCCTCTCCGCCACCCTGCCCACCTCCCCCGCCCGCCCGCCTCAACAGTACTACGACAAGCTGCTGCGCGACATCTCGGTGCACATCTTTGCGTGCACCGAGCGGCAGGCACACCTCCCCACATCTCCCCCACATCTCCCCCACATCTCCACACATCTCCACACATCTCCACACATCTCCACACATCTCCACACATCTCCACACATCTCCACACATCTCCACACATCTCCCCGTATCTCCCCACATCTCCCCACATCTGGGCGTATGTCATCTTTGCGGCAGGCGCGGAACCTGGGCGCTTCCGAGACACCTCCAAGACACGTCCGAGACACGTCCGAGGCACTTTCCAGACGCGTCCGAGACACGTCCGAGGCACCCCCCCGCAGGCGCAGAACCTGGGCCGCTTCCTCAACGAGTCACTCAAGCTGTTGGGCCACTGGAAGTCGGGCGAGGAGGTCTACCGCAACGAGTGCGCCAAGCTGCCCGGCTTCTCGACCTCCTTCATCAACCAGCAGGCCAACGCCAAGAAGGCGTCCTACGAGGACTTCGTCAAGGCGGTCTTCAGCCCGTGGCACCTGCAAGGCCCTCACTCTAGCTGCTAACCATTGACCAATGCACTCACCAGGTGGTCTTCAAGTGGTACTGCAAGGTCCTCAAAGCGCTGATGGCGTGCCTCGACTCCAAGGAGTACATGGAGGTGCGAGCTCCCTATATCTCCCCTATATCTCCCCTAGCCTCGACTCCAGGGAGTACAGCGCGCCGCAGCGCATGGGAGATAGGGGGAACAGGGGAGATACAGGGGAGACATAGGGGAGATACAGCGGAGATACAGGGGAGATACAGGGGAGATATAGGGCGTACATGGGGGTGCGCGCGCGCCAGCATGGGCTTGTGAACGAGGCTCCTTCATCGATGAGTCGGTTGTTAGGTGGGATCTCCCCCATATCTCCCCCATATCTCCCCCATATCTCCCCCATCTCTCCCCGATATCTCCCCCATATCTCCCCCATATCTCCCCGATATCTCCCCGATATCTCCCCTGTATTCTCCCACGACTCGTCGCCAGGTGCGCAACGCGCTGCACGTGCTCACGCGCATCATCGAGGTCTTCCCGGGGATGCGCAAGCTGTGCGAGCACCTCGAGCGCAAGGCGCCGGAGAAGGGAGAGATGGGGAGATCTGGGGGAGATCTGGGGAAAGATGGGGAGGTGCGGGGAGATGTGGGGAGAGCGCCTCGTGCGCATGGCGGAGGAGGCACGCTCACACCCTCCCTCCCGCACACCCGCCCACACCCTCCCTCCCGCACACTCGCTCACACCCTCCCTCCCGCACGCCCGCACACCCGCACACCTGCGCACCCGCACCCGCACGCGCACACGCCGGATCTCACCCACCGGCACTCCCCCCCCCCCCCTTTCACATCCTGCGCAGGTGGACGTGCTGCGGAGCGAGGAGCGCAAGGACCTGCAGATCCAGGCGTCGCAGTACTACTCGATGCTCCAAAAGGCAAAGCCCAAGCTGCTCACGCAAGACCAGTTCTGCTGCGGCGTGCCGATGAAGTCGGACGGCGGCGCCGCCGAGAGCGCCGCCGCCGCTGCGGACGGCAAGAAGGAAGGCGCGCCCGCCGCCGCCGCCGCCGCGGACCCAAAGACGCCCGCGGCCAAGCCGGCGGCCAAGCCGGCGGCCGACGCGCCGGCGCACCCCGCGCCGACGCCGCCGAGTGCCCCCCCAGCCAAGCAGCAGCGCGTGGCGCCGGGCGGCGGCGGCGGCGGCGGGACCGGGACCGGGGCGAGCCCGATGCTCAACCCGTCGGCGGCGCCGTTTGTGCCGCGCTCGGGCGAGCGCAAGCGAGAGCGGGACGCCTCGCCGGGCGGCGGCGGCGGCGGCGGCGGCGGCGGCGGAAACGGCGGCGAGAAGCGCAGCCGCAAGGACGGCAAGGACGGCAAGGACGGCAAGGAGGAGGAGGGCGCGGGCGAGCGGCCGGTGCGCGGGCGGGACGCGGGCGGCGGCGCGGCGGCGAAGGGCGAGGAGGCGCCCGAGCGGGGCGCGGCGCGGCGCGGCGGCGACAAGGACGGGCCGGCGGGCGGGCGGGAGGGCGGCAGGGAGGGGAGGGTGGAAGGCGGCGTCAAGCGCGAGCCGGAGAGGGACAAGGGCGGCGGCGACAAGGAGCCGCCATCCCGCGAGCCAAAGCCGACCGCGGGCGGAGGAGGAGGAGGAGGAGGAGGAGGTGGCGGGGGAGGCCGCCAGGCGCCCCGCGACGGCCGCGATAGCCACGTTGCGCGCGACGGCGGCGGGCGGGATGGCGGCGGACGAGACGGCCACACGGCGCGCGACGGCGGGCGCGACGGCGGGCGCGACGGCGGGCGCGACTCGCACGGCGGCGGCGGCAAGGGCGGCGGCGGAGGCGGCGGGAGGGAGGGCCACGGGCACGGCCGCGATGCGCGCGAGCGGGAGGCGCGCGCGGTTCCGAGGGGTCGCATCCGCGCGCTGGCTTCTTGTTTGATTTGGCGGGCGTGGTGTTTCGTGTCTAGGCGCGCGAGCGCGAGGCGAGGGAGCGCGAGCAGCGCGAGCGGCAGCGGCAGACGGCGGACGCCAAGAGCCGCGAGCAGCAAAAGGAGAAGGAGCTGCGCGAAAAGGCGCCCCCCTCCCCCTTTACCCCTTTTGTGGTTCCCCCCCCCCCCCCCCCCTCCCCCTCTACCCCCTCTGTCGCACCCCCGGCACGCGTCGAGGTGGCGCGGTCCGAGACATGTCCGAGGCATGTCCTGTAGGCGATGGCGTCGACGCGCCGCGACGCGTCCAGGGACACGTCCAGGGACGCGCCCGACAACGGGCCGCGCGGCGGCGGCAGGGTGGTTGAGGAGCGGCGGCGGCCGCGCCAGCCCGCAAACGACAAGCGGCGGTGAGGCGGGAGGAAGGCGGCGGCGGCGGCGGGCGGGTGTGCGAACGGGGCGGCGGGCGGGCCGCTGCACCGCCCGCACCCCTCCACGCTCCCGGCCTTATGTCCGGCGAGGTGAGGCCTCTCCGGCCCACCGCCGGCGCGCTCCACCATGACAGCGGGGACAGGTTCGCAACGCGGCCGGCGATACTTCAAGTTCGTAGAGAAAACGCTGAATGCGCTCGAGCACAGTGCACACGCTCTCTCTAGACTGTCTTTACATATCTGCATACCGCGAAAATTTTGCGCAAGACGGTGTACTGATCCAGTAAGAGGGGTGTTAGAGGGAGCGGACCGTGAGTTGAGGAAATCGAGGGACGCGACCCACTTCGCCACAGACGGTCCCGCGCCTCGCCGCTATGACGGGCACACGCCCCGCACCGTCCGCTGTGTGCCCGTCTTTGTCCGGAGTGAAAAGTCCAACGCGCTCGTCGGTGGCGGCTTCCCTCAACCTGCGCCGCGCTCGGCGAACCTCGACAGCGCTTTCGGTGGCATGCAGCTCTTTGCGACAGAAGCCTGGAGAGCAGCTCCTCGGCTGCTCACACGCTCTGCACAGTTGACACAGCCTACTGTGCGGCTGCCACAGCTGTGACAGCGATGGGCTCGCCCTCACTGGCCCTCAGTCACTTGTGCTGCGGCTTGTGTGAGCGACACTGCTCGGCGACTGCCGGCACACTGTGAGACCATGGGTGTGAGGTTAAACCACGCTACCAGCGCTTGGTCACATCGGCCCCGAGATCAGATCCTTCTACTCTGTTGATGACAAGACTTGTCTACTGGCTAAAGCCGAGCAGGAGGGCCCAGCGCATAACCCTTGGTCAACTCAGGGTCCACACCCCGTAAGCAGATCTTATTTAAAAGCATAAAACACACCCCTGTCATGCACATGCTCCTGTGTCCACGCTCATACTCATGCGCCCAATGCGCACATGCCCATGTGCGTCCATGCGTCCATGTGCTCATATGTCCAGGATGCATCCATGCGAACGGCACGCGCACCTCGGCCCCTAGGCCCTCGCGCACTAAACTGCGCGGTACATGCAAGTGCGTTACGGCACGTGACAGCGGTACGCGTCGCGTTGGGTCGCATGCACCGGTCCAGACCGCGCCCCTTCCCTAGCCTCCCTCCAAACCACGCCATCCCGTCCCACCTTCGCAGCCCGTGAAGCTCGCTCGCTGCCCCCAATGTGCGATCGATCGTGTCGACGCTGATTGGACGAGTTCGAGCGCGTGCAAGGCGGCCATGCCCGCTGCTCCGGTTGGACAGCGTCGCCTTTTCTTCGCTCAGCAGGCGGTATTGCAGGCCGGGGCGGCATGGCTGGCAAAGAGGAGATGGTGGTGCGTGTCGGAGTTACCAATGATGGTGCGGGCGTGCGTGTGCGCCGCGGTCTCGCTGCAACACGGGATGAAATTGCAACCCAGGGTGTGCGTGTGCGTGTGCGTGTGTTCCGGGATGAAATTGCAACCCAGGGCGTGCGTGTGCTTGGCGGGATCGGCGGGATCCGGGGTGAAATTGCAACCCAGGGCGTGCGTGTGCTTGGCGGGATCGAAGGGATCCGGGGTGAAATTGCAACCCAAGGCGTGCGTGTGCTTGGTGGGATCGGCGGGATCCGGGGTGAAATTGCAACCCAGGGCGTGCGTGTGGGCGGGACCGTGCGCGTGCTCAGCCCCCTCGCCGCCGTCGGCCATCAGTAGCCTGCGGCTGACCGCGTGCTGGACTTGATTCCGTGGCGTGGGTGCCTCCTGGGGGTCCAGGTAGAGGAGATGCTTCAGGACGCCGATTCTTCTCGCTGAGAACAGGCTCCTCGCTCGTGCTCACTGGTGCCGCATGAGAAGCACCGCTGCGAGTGGTGATGTTCATGAGGAAGGAGATCGTATAGCGGTAAGGAGAACCACTAGTCATCGGTCGCACGCGGTGCAGTTCTGCGCGGAGGTGATGCTCAGTGCTGCGATCGGAAGCCCAGAAGGCGAGCTTACCCGCCGTCGGTGTAACACTCACGTTGACAAGTGGGAACTCCAGCTCGCCGCCGAAGCGAGGAGGTATATCGTTGAGGTAGAGGACAGCGGTCGTGTCCGTCGAGTCGGTGTGCAGGTCAAAGCCCGGATAGCCCGGGACGTACCTCACCGCTTGAACCCGCTCAGCGAGCCTGTCTGTCATGCCGCCATGGTGAGGCAACATCCTGATCTCGTCCAGGCCCCACAGTGCTGCATAACGGGCAAGGACCGCCTCGAGCACCGGCACGTCTGCAACGTACAGCCAGAGCTTGCTGCGACCGGATGGCCTCGCCCGCTAGCCACGCTTCATCAGGAAAAGATGCCAGCTTTGCAGCCAGACTCGCCGCCTCGGCATCGGTGAGAAAGGATTTCTCCACGTACAGGTCTTTGGCGAGCGTTTCAGTGTTCACTGACGGCGTCGGGAGCGGGATGGAGGCGGCGAGGAGCGCGGGGGGCAGCATTTCGTTTCAGCGCAAAGCGTTGTCACGGCAGATTCTTGCGGAAAGTTTTCGATGGCGACCGATCACAAAAATCTCGAGCGTTCGCAGGTGCACTAATTGTAAACGCCAGTGTCCGTAAGGTTTCGCGCACTCGCGGGGCTATTTTGAGTTCTCATTATCAAGTGGCAAATTGCCTCCTGCAGCTCCACCCTCCTCGATGACTATGACTACGTGACGAGGACCTACGAGCAGTACGACCGCCAGGTCTTCGACTACTGCAAGGAAGGAGGGCCTAGCGTGGAACTTTGGATGCATATCGGCAAGCCAAAATAACGAGCCAGAGGCTGCCCTGGTGCGTGAGCTAATCCTGAGCAACAATAAGCGTGGTCAACGTGACACCCCCCTCACACACACACACACACACACACACACACACACACACACACACACACACACACACACACACACACACACACACACACACACACACCGCTCACCCACGCGCACTGGGCCTTGCACTTTAAATGCCGTGGGGCTCCTATCGTTAGACGTGGAGACGCGACGATAATCCTCTCGTGGTGCGCTCCGTGTGGCACCCCCGCCTGCTGCCGCACACGCGCTCCCATGACGGTCTTTGTCACCACGTTGTGATCATCCACATTCAATCTCGCGCTCGCCGTGCAGATCCTTGATCCGCTGTCGCTTGTCCCATTTGTGTCTCGTTGTTCCCCTGACCACATCGCTCCACAGCGGCCCCGTCACCCCTGCCGTGTGCGACCCCGCCGTGAGCCCCTCGCCGAGCCGTCCTCGCACCCACTCGTTCGTGTGGCCGCGCGTGGCGTAATAGGTCGTCCGGTCAAGTACCTCCCGCCCCCACTCTCTGTCTGCCGCCCTCCGGCGGTCCGTGTATAGGCACGGGCGTGTCCTCACCGCTCCGCGAATGACCGCTGTGGCATCCTCAATCTCCGGGCAATTTCAGATGCCTCAGCATCTCAAATTGCGGGTTCCCCGCCCCCTCTGACGCGAGGGTCGCACCCCCTTGCCCCACCACCTCGCTTGTGTGGAGAAGTTTACCTTACCTTACCTTACCTTAGAATGTCCATGGTTGGGCAAGCGGCAGGGGGTGCAACCCTCGCACAGTCATCTCCACACGCCCACTAGAGACGTACAGCCCTAAGCCAACAGAAGCCCCACACGGCAGGCGCCTAGAGAAGGGAGGGCTTGGCGGCGCCGCGACAGCCAGAGCTCGACAGCGCAACAGCGGCTGAGCGCGCCCCCGCGTGACGCCTTCCGAGCCGCGAAGGCGATACCACCCCCCAATGCGCGTCTGCCGCGCCATCTGCCCGTCAGGCGAGCCTCGCTGGCACCCGACTCCTGCAGCACCGCGGGCGGCCCTCGGTCAGGACTCAGATGAGGAGCTTCTCGATGGAGTCCTTGAGCTGCTGGATCTGGTTCTTGAGCTGCGAGCCTACGCGCCGCACGTCCCCGCCGAGAGTGAGCCGAGATGCACCGCCGAGGCGAAGCCTCGCCCGACTCTCTCGAGCCGCGCGCGCGCGCCTTCGTTGGTCGTGATGGAGCACGAGATGACTGGCCGCGAGACGCCGCAGGAGCGGCCGAGCGCCTTTCGGGGGAGCGGGGGAGTCATGGAGAAGCGCGGGGAGGCGGCGGGGAGGCGGGGCGGAGGGCCCAGAGGCCGACCCGGCGCCTGCTTGTTTGGCACAAAGACATACGGCACATTCTTGTCCTCGCACAGCAGCGGCAGGTGCAGCAGGATCTCAAGCGGCTCGGCGTCGGCCGCCTGCGACGCAGGGCGCGGCCACGCGGGCGTCGGCGGCGGGCGGCGGCTCTGCCCGGCAGCGCGAGAGGGGTGGTGCGGCGGAGGCCGGGCGGGGTGGCGGCTGCTCGCCATGACAATCAGCTCGGCGATGCCGCGGTTGAGCGTCTTGGTCGCCTCGTTGGCGCCCTTCTTGAGCTGCTTGAAGTTGGCAGCCTGCTGCACCACGTCGAGGATCGAGACGGTGAGGTTCGAGTCGGCGAGCGGAAAGGCCTTCGGGTTCGGCTCCCCCTGCGGTGGCGGGGCGGCCCCGCGGCTGAGCGGCGCGACGGCAGCGGGCAGAGCGGCGTGGGAGGCGCGGCGCGTGCCATCACTGCTGATCACGCAGGGGATTGCGGGCTGGCGCGCGGAGGCGAAGAGCAGGGCGCTGCTGGCGACGAGGAAAGCCGTGAAAAAATATTTACGCGGCCTCCTTGCGAGCCCCACCTGTCCCCCTGATCGTCCTTCCAAAATCCTGCTCGTGCAGGTGGGGACCCTGTCCTCCTCCCCCATCCCTCGTCTGGGGTTGTCTGGTGTCTTTTTTTCTTTCTTTCTTTCTTGCGAGGCAGGAAGAAAAAAAGGAAGGTGACAGCCCGTACAGCCCGTACCCTGATATGCGTCGTCCGCTACCCGCTCGTCAGACCGCAACGTGAGTTGAAATTCCAGAATCAATCGTTGTAAATTCAGAAAATACGTAAGAGCCACATACATTGAAATTCAGAAAAACAAGAAAAAAACTAACAAAAATTCAGAATAATGCATATGCTCTGAGGTCAACAACAACAAACATTGCTAAAAAATCTGAGGTCACAGTATGGGTTCGGGACGTATTCACAGCAGAGAGAGAGATTTTCTTCACAGCAGTGTGAAGGTATCGAGCAACTTCGAAATCGACCAATTTTGTGACTTCAACATCCTGCTGCTCTTTGACCTCAGCCTCGCTGCCCTCTGCGCGGCTGGCGTAACCCGTGCTGCTGCCAGCTGCAGTGCTCGATCTTTACCGGTATGGGAGTTTTTGGCTAATCAAACCCAGGGCCTGCACTAATCAAAAAGTGGTACGGGATACCAGTTGCCTCACGGAAATCAAAGCGAGTCGGAGTGCCTTCTTGGTGGCAAAATCGGCAAAATCGGCAAAATACCGGGTATTTTGCGGGTATGTATGTAACTAGTGAGAGGACTCGAGATTGGTTCGAGATTGGGGCAGAGCGAGTGGGAGACTTTTCGGCGGGCGAAATGCGGCGGTTTGGATGCGTCCCCTTTGGGACGACCTGTTGGTACGACCTGTGGGACGACCTGTGGCAGCGACCGATGCCGTCACCGGACGCGGCGGCGAGGCACACGGGCGCCGGCGTGGCGCGTCGGCAGGCCCACCACGAGCGGATGCGCGACGAGCGCGCTCGGGAAGCGGCCGCGGGCGACGCGGAGCTTCCGCCGGAGGACGACGCGGTCGAGATGGCGAGCGCCGCCCAGCTGCTGGACAGCGTGGCGGAGGTGGGCCCGAACTACACCCTGCTGCGCAGCAAGGAGACGAAGGCGAAGCGGCGGAAGCGACAGCGCGAGGATGCCAGGGCGGCGCTCGACGGCCACACTGTCCTGTCCACCGGATCGCGCCTCGAGATCTTCTGCGACAGTGAGCGGTGGTACCCTGCGACCGTCATGGCGCGGGAGGAGGACGGGGACGGACGGATCGCGCACCAGGTCGAGTACGACGGCTACCCGGATCGGCGGTGGTGGCACATGCTGGACGACGAGCGGTGGCGAGCCGTCGCAGAGCAGGCCGGCACGGGCGCAGGAGGCGCCGCCGCAGACGGGGATGGGGATGCGGCGATGGACCGCGCGGACGGCGAGCGGGGCGCCCGTGCCGCGGGCGACGCCGAGGCGGCCGAGGTGCGGCCGGCGCCGCCTCCTGTGCGCCGGGGTGTGCAGCGCAGCGCGCTGGCGGACGCCCTCGAGGCGGAGGATGACGAGCGGCAGGAGGAGGCCGCGTGCGGCGATGGGCGGCCGATGCTAGCGCCACACGGGCCGGCGCTGTCAGTGCAGCTTCGGCGCGTGCGCCTGCGGCTGCGCGAGTTCCTGGCGACGCAGGCCGCGGCGGGGAAGAGCGTGCCGATGCAGCGGACGGCCCTCGGTCTGCACCCGACGGTGCGGTGGACGATCCGCTTCGGCAAGTGGCTGGCGACGACGCGAATTACCGCGCCGAGGGCGAGCCGGTGGCACGCGACCGAGCGGGGCGACGCGCGGGACGAGGAGCCGACGGTGCGCACGGGGCGCGGCGAGAACACGGTCTACGTCGCGCTGCAGCACATGAAGAACCACGTGTGGCGCGAGATCTGGCCGGCGATGCCGGACGACGCGAGGCAGTACTGGCGGCTGGTGACCAAGCAGGTGATGTCGCTGTACGACGGCGGCGGCGGCGGGATGAAGGACGCGGCAGGAGCCGCCGGCCGGGCGGCGGGCCGCGAGGCGGCGCAGGAGAGCGCGTCGCACGGGCAGAGTGAGGCGGCGCAGCGGGCGGCGAGCGAGAGGGCGAGCGCGGTGGCGAGCCGGCGGACGATGGCCGAGCTGCGCGAGGCGACGACGAAGCCGTGCACGAAGCAGCACCTCTTCCAGGTGGGAGAGTACCAGATGCAGGACACGCAGCTGTGATGGAGCCGTTCGAGGTGAACGTGGCCTTCATCATGAACGCCTACTTGTGCTTCGCGCGGCAGACCGGGTGCCGGCCGGGCATGGCGGTGAACGACGCGGCGGACGCGGCCGATTCGGACAGCCACTGGCGCGCGTCTCCCGCTGAGAGAGAGAGAGAGAGAGGCGAGTAGAACGGTGGCGTTGGCGTGCGATGGGGCGAGATGACACTGAGCCGTGCCGCTCGCCGGCAGGCACGAGCTGCCGCCGCTGACGATGGGCGGCCCACCCCTGGATCGAATCGGGATTACTCGAATGCGACGGGGCCGAGGAGCGTTGCGGGAGACGTGGATGCGACGGATAGGAGCTTTGTGCAAGGGCCTGATCCAAACGGACAAGATTTTATACACTGCTCCTCGAGGCTTGCGGGGCTGATCATCCAACTCATGCCGGAAAACGGCAACCACTATTTTGCAACGTCCGAGCTCGGAGGTGCACTCGAAGGGAAGTATCGAATAGTCGGCAACTGGGCGAGAGGTGACTGCCAGTCCGAGCTAGCCTACTGTCCTGACGGCCGTGAGGTCGACAGCGACGGCCTGCTCGACGACATGAGCAGGCCAGAAGACTGGCCGCTGTGCTCGAAGAAGTGCTACAACATCGCAAACCCGGATCTCCCGAATGATGGCATTCTTCCCGGGATGGAAAGTGATTGCGACCCCATTTGCCGATGGTCGTAGCCCAGCTCGAGAGACAAAGCCGGTGACTGTACGCAGTGAGTGGCCGCGAAGCTGTGCATAAGACAGTGATGAGTCAGTGAGAGCTCTCGCGCACCCCGCATATTCATAATCGATCTCCTTTGCACTCTCTTTCTGACTGCGTCTGCACACAGATTGCAGGGTCGGTGTGCGAGTATGTGGGACAAAAGCGTCGAAAATGTGGCAATTCTTCGGTGCTGGTAGCCCCCCCAAAACAGGCGCGCGCGCAGCGCGCCAAACGCAAGGGCGCCGCAGGGAGCAGGCGCCCCAAAGCGGCAAGCGGCGCGCAGAGCGCCGCCGCAGGCGGCGGACAGCATATGCAGCTTTTGCAGGTGCGAGCGAAGTTAAACGCCATTTTCGGTTCCGCAGTAGAGGTTTTGGCTTTTGCCACTAACATCGAAATCCGCGGTACAAATCGCGACTTACTTAGCCGAAACAGCTGACTGACAGACGGAGAGTACACAACCTCACAAGTTCGAAGTTGAAACGAGAGGGATGCTTCAGTCGCCAGCGCGCACTCAGCGAGTCCCAGACGCCACCCGAGCTAGCTTGTTCCACTCTGTGGACGCCCTCGATAGACGAGAGAGCGCACAGGTCAGCGCCATATAGGCGCGGTACGTACTTTCTTCTCACTGGTAAGCAAGTAAGACCAGTTACCCCCCAAGCCGCCACCGAGACAAGCCCCAACCCCGACGCCTGGACGTGCCCAAAAGCTGCCCAGGACGCGACGATCGTCAGCGCCCGCCATCAAATCCGGTTTTGTGTGGGCTCAGGCCCGAGTCCCTAGTGTCGCCGGAGCAGGTAGCTGCTAGCTCCCCATCCTTTTCAACAGGAACAGTCTTTTTTCGCATCAAATCCGCCATGGCCCATGTGGCGCCCGCCGACGCTCCGTTGCGTTTTGGTGGCGTCTCCGCGGCGAGCCACGCCAGCAGGCGGCCGCGGCCACGCGTCCGACCGCGCACAAGTCCGCGCGGCGAAGTTGAGGAGACTCTCTTGCACGCCTCGCAGCCGCCCGTCACAGCAAGGCCGACGCCACCTCCGCCTCGGAGAGGTTCGCCAGCAGCTGTTGCGGCGACGTCCCGATCTGCCTCGCGAGCCGCTCCTGCGCCGCCGAGCCGAGCGAGACAAAGCGGCGCAGCAGCGCGCCGTCGATGACTTGCGAGAGCTCGCCCTCGGCCGTGGCGCCGGAGCCCTGCGCGCGGAAGCCGCGCGGGTTGAGGCCGGCGGCGTGCTGCATCGTCGCAACCATCTTTGTGGACAGAAAGTAGAGCCGTCGGAAGGCCGCCTCCTCCACCTGCGCGAGTACAGCCGAGATCTGCCGACGTCTCGCCGAGATCTCGCCGAGATCTCGCCGAGATCTCGCCGAGAGCTCGCCCCGGACACGGCTGCCCCACCTGCGCGAGGTAATCTCGGGCCATCTCGGGCACTCTCGGGCCAGCTCGGGCACTCTCGGGCCAGCTCGGGCCATCTCGCCCCACCTGCGCGAGGCAGCCGATGGCGCCGTCGAGCGTCGAGTAGAGCAGCGCGTGCCTCCGCCGGCCGGCGGCGGCGGCGGCGGCGGGCGGCGCGCCGCGCGGCGGCAGCGAGAGGCGGAGGAAGTGGTTGGCGACGGCGCCGAGGTGGAAGGCGGCGCGAGGCAGCAGCACCGTGCCCGAGCGGGACTCGGCGTCCTGACGCGAGTACGAGTAGATGCGCAGGTTGCGGCCCGCGTCCGCGAGGAAGACGCGCAGCCCGTTGGCAGGGTTCGGGTCCGCCTGAAATCCACTGCGTGGTCTTAACGAAATTGACATGTACTTTAAGAAGTCCGTCGGCGGCGTGCGGGTCCGCCTGAAACGAACTGACTCAGGTTGACGAAATTAATTCTCTGAGTGGGTGAGTCCGTTGGCGGCGTGCGGGCCCGCCTCGTCCAGCGTCATCTCGCACGCAAAGGCGGAGGCGGCGTCGCGCCGCTGCGAGCGCGCCTCGAAGCACTTCTTCTCCTTTGACCACGCGACCAGCTGCAGCCCGCGGCACGCGTCGCCAAGCAGGGCGTAGTTGCCGAGCGTCGCGGCGCACGAGGCGGTGAACCCGGCGTAGTGGAAGCCCGCCGGACGCAGCTCTCCCCGCTCCGCCTTCCAGATCGAGATCTTCGAACTAACTCACGAACTACTCACTAACTAATGACGCCCCGCCCCCGCCTTCCAGATCGAGATCTTCTGGCCGACGGCGCAGAGCAGCATGCCTGATCTCACAAGCGGTCGCTCGGTGCGTGCTCTCTCGCGCCCGCCTCCTCCCACACACCGCAGGCGGGGGGCTCGCCCTGCATCGCCGCTATATCTCTGCTATATCTCGGCTGTATCTCGGCTACATCTCGGGGGGGGGGGGGTCGCGCCCTGCATCGCCGCCAGTGCCGTCACCGGCCCTCGCTCCTCCTGTTCACAGGCAGCGCTGTGAAGAGACGCTGTTCACAGCTCGCAGCAGAAGGCCCTCGCTCCTCCTGCTCAAACAGCAGCTTGAGGGGCCGTCTGCTCTCGCCGCCCGCCGGGGCACCGGCCTCCGCCGCGCCGGCCGCGGGCCCTGTAGGCCCCGCGCCGCCCGCACCCGGAACGCCCCCCTCGCGGTATGAAACCACCGCAGGCGCCACACCTGCTCACACTTCCTGACAGGCGGCGGGCGAGCCGGCGTCTGCGTCGCCGCCTCCGCCCTCTCCGGCAGACTTCGCCTTTTTCTGCCGCGAGGAGGAGGAGGAGGAGGGCGGCGAGTCGTCCGGCGCGAGGATGAGCAGCCGGCCGCAACACATGCGGTCCTCGCCCTGCTGGATCGCCTGTGGCATGGGAATGCTCGGACTGACTCCCGTCAACTCATTCGACGAGGAGAGGGGCGCGATCTCCCCATATCTCCCCATATCTCCCCATATCTCCCCATATCTCCCCATATCTCGCCCTCGAGGAGGAGAGGGGCGCGATCTCCCCATATCTCCCCATATCTCCCCATATCTCCCCATATCTCGCCCTCGGGAGGAGAGATGCGCGATCTCCCCATATCTCCCCATATCTCCCCATATCTCCCCATATCTCCCCATATCTCGCCCTCGGGAGGAGCGCCGTGCCGACGACGAGGCGGTGCGTCACAGCACGCGTCGCCTACGGCGCACAGTCACGAATTGATTCATTACTTCATTAATCAACGCGGCGGTGCGTCACAGCACGCGGCGCCGCGTCTCGCAGCGGCAGCAGCCGCATGCACATGACCCACTCGTCCTCGCGCAAGGCGTACGACGCCTCCGTCGCCCACGACTCCGC